GGTGAAGTGTCTTGCCCAAGGACACAACGACCGAGACTGTCCAAGCCGGGGCTCGAACCAGCAACCTTCTGATTACAAGACGAACTCCCAACTCTTGAGCCACGATCGGCCCCCATGTAGATCGGGGTGGAACCTCTTGATTGGCAGACCGGGGTGGTGTTTTCCATCTTCAAGAAGCGGGGACCCGAGAGCATGCTCCAACTATAGGAGGGAATCACACTGCTCGGCCAGAGTTCGTCCATTAGTCGAATGTCGGATACCGGAGGAACAATGTGGTTTTCGTCCTGATTGTGGAACACTGGCCCTGCTCTTCATGCTCTTGAGGATACTTGAGGGTGCATGGGAGTTTGCCCAGCCAGTCTACACATGTTTTGTGGACTTGGAAAAGGTATTCAACTGTGTCCCTCTGAGTGTTCTGTGGGAGGTTCTTCGAGAGTATTCGGGTGTTTGGCACATTGATGGGGGCCATTTGATCCTTATACAACTTTTGCAAGAGCTTGGTCCGCATAGCCAGTAATAAGTCATACTCATTTCCAGTGGGGTTTGGACTCTGCCAAATCTGTTCTTTGTCACTGATTCAGATTATTTGTACAGAATTTCAAGGCATAGCCAGGTGGTGGGAAGTTTCCACTAGGACTGCCTGAGAATTTCATCTCTGCTTTTCGCAGATAATATGGTTCTGTTGGCTTTATCGGGTGGAGGCTTCCAGTTCACACCGGAGCAATTCTCACGCCAGTGTGAAGCAGCGGGAATGACAATCAGCACCTCCAAATCTGAGGCCATGGTCTTCAGCAGAAAAAAGGGTGAAGTGCCCACTCCAGGTCAGGGACCTGGAATCTCCTCCCCAAGTGGAGGAGTTTAAGTATCTCTGGGTTTTTTTCACGAGTAAGGGAAGAAGGTGGATTGGTGCAGCGTCTGCAGTGATACGGACGCTGTACAGGTCTGTCATGGTGAAGAGAGAGCTGAGCATTAAAGTGAAGCTCTCAATTTACCGGTCGATCTACATCCCTACCCTCACATATAGTCATGAGCTGTGGGTAGTGACCGGAAGAATGAGATTGCAGAAACAAGCAGCAGAAATGAGCTTCCTCTGAAGGATGGCTGGCCTCTCCCTTAGAGATAGAGTGAGGAGTTTGGCCATCCAGAAAGGGCTCAGAATAAAGCCGCTACTCTGCCACAAGAAAGGATGCAATTAAGGTGGTTTGGGCATTTGACAAGGATGCCTCCTGGGCACCTGCTGGATGAGGTGTTCCAGAAATGTTGGAGGGAGGAGGCCCTGGAGCAAACCTGGGACACGCTGGAAAGATTATTTCGGCTAGCTAAGGGAGGTCAGGGCTTCTCTGCTTAGACTGCTGCCTCTGCAACTTGGCCCTGCATAAGCAGTAGAAAATGGATAGATTAAGAACCTTAACAAAATATTTGTACTTTGTTACTTCTCACCTCTGCTGATTACTGTCTTGACCCAGTTCAATACCAATCAGTGAAGCTCTCCCAAGAACTGCTGATCAATATCTTGGTTATGTTTGGATTGATCTGTGCACTGCATCTACTACAACAATTATCCCAACAACTGAACATTACAGTATTCATTTGTACAGCAGTCTGAATCCAGGTAAACTGTTGTCGAACAGATCCTGACTCAAGAGACTGGATCACTGTATCACAGGACAGAATCTTGTTTTGATTTCTTTTGAAGGAATAACTGGACTATAAGAAATTTCAGAGTCATTATTTTGAATATGAATCTGTCACGACGGAGCAGGATAGACTCACGCACAGACTGCAAATCACAATAAACAGTTCCTTATTAACACAACTCCAAGTGCACCATATACAAGTGGGGAAAAGGGATCCCAGGGGTCCACTGCCGGTCCGCTCACTCCACATGGAAATCCTCCTCCTTCTACATGCCACACTTAAACTGCCACACTCACGTACAGGTTCTGGGAAACAGGGTCTCAAGACGGGGCAAGGAGAATCTATATACAGGGTCAAGGTATTTAATACTAAGAAAACATGAATAGAACTCAAAATGTTGGAAAGGCCAGAATTACACTAAGGAGTGTTACACAATAGTCCAGCGACAAAGTGCTCACAGCCACTGCCTTAAGAAGTGGCAGACACACAGGTTGATGAATCACAGGTGAGTAATTACTTGCAGGTGCGAGGACTGAAAGCAGGAGCCCATGATGAACTCCGCCCAGGCAAACCGTTGCGAGCAGGGAGGAGAGAGAGAGAAAAACCAGAACAAACACATGTAGCCTCACTGGGCCAACTGGGCAGACACAGGGACCATG